TAGCCAAAGATTGAAGCGCCACAGCACTGGCAAAAATTTAAATTTGCCGACTGGAATTCTTTCGAATGATTGACTTTCGGAAAATCGACGCTCTACTGTATTGAAAGTTTATTTTTCAGTTTGAAAAAAAAAGGCATTACTAAACAAATGAAGATTAATGATTTTTTAAAAAAGGAGCAATGCAAATTGTGCTTGAAAATGAGAGAAAAATCAATAACATTGATTTTTGATTGAGTAAATTAATTGAGGTACATGAACATTTAAAAAAATTTTATATAGGCCCTCTACACCTATTGTTTTCCTGGATGCATAATTTTTTGAGGTCTCCTGATGAAAACAATGAGTCAATGTTTCGTTGTCACTGTCCACTATGATAACTATCAATAGCAGAAATTTTGAAATTTCATTAATTATCCATAAAATGTTTGTGAAAAGTACTTTGTTTTTCCTATTTATCACCAAACTTTTTTGAAATTTCTCTAGCAACATGAATTAAAATTATCATCAGTTCATATGTCACAGGAGCAATTATTCAAATTTTTTGTATGTACTCTTCTAATAAATCTCCAGCATTCAGCATTTTTTCTATTTTGAGCATTATGATGATGATAAATTTCATTTGAAATTTCAACTACCTTTAGGAATACTTTTTGAAAACTCTGTAATAGGGAGAAAAATTATGAATGTAATTAAAACTAACTTTGATATCAAGTCTACTATATATATTTTATGATTATTCTAACATTTTCATTCTTCCATTACAGTTAAATTTTTTATATATTACTTCCTTTTTCTTATAAGCATTAATATGTTTTTCAATCATCATTACATATTTCAGCTTTAAAAAAATTTAAATGTAGAAGTCAAAAATTACTTTAAATTTACAAACACAAATAATTAGACTCAGCCATGATTCCAGCCACAAATTTTTATGACAACAGATACATAAATCGTAAATTTAAAGAATATAAATTCTAGAGCTTTTTTTGTACCTTGTGCATCTCAATTCATTAAATTTAGTTGTAATGCTGCCAAAGTTAGTTAATTTTTTAACATTGTACAAGATTGTACACTTTTTTTCCTACATTCCCTTAAAGATGGGACATACGAATCGTAATATCACTGGTTTAACATTGAAATCCGTAAATAATATAAGATGGGAGAGCGGAATAAAAATATCAAATATTTTAATGGATTTTTTTAAACTCCTGTCAACTATACAGAACTATCATAAAAACATACCAGTAAATTCTTATCGGTTGGGTTAAGTTATAAAGCTACTTGTGATTCACATAATGGGGCAAGGGTGGCCAAATATCTAGCAGGCAGGCAGCTAACAGCCCAGAACCAGTCCTGGATAGAATCATTGGAAGCATTTTGGTGTGTAGCTTCCACCAGCTAAATGGGTGAGGTTGATGCTCTGTAAAGCACATGCACAAATGCAAATAATCTGGCAGTTTGGAAGCGGACCCGGTTTCGACAATACAGCACTTCCATTCCGCCACTGATATTCGAATATACAATAGCAATCTTATCGTTTTTTTTCACATGTAATATAGAAATTTGTAATAAGATACATAATGCGGTTATAATAAAATACGTTAAAATATGAAAATAATTGCACAATATGTATTTATTTCTTAGAAAATACAAAGGAATCGGCACTTCCACCGCTTCCAGTGACGGCACGCCACTGAAATTTACTATTTTATGCTTTTAACCATTATCTTTGTCTTAAAATAATCTTATAAATCTTAATAAAAACTTTAAATTTTATTTACATTCATTTTCTTAATCATTTGTTTTAATAGCCGAAGTCTATTGTATACATTACACAAGAAATGGAAACATTTTAACAATGGGTTGCGTTTGTTTTGAAATGATAATAAATATTTAAATTATTAACAATATACATTACCTGTCCGGCAGTACACAATGCTAACAATGCTCCCATCTTAGTTTATTCGGATTTAAAATTACGGCTTTAAAAATAATTAAATTATAAAAGCGATTTAAAGATTATCACAAACGACGACTGCTGAACGTCAGATGCCAATGGCGTCATTCGATTATCGTTTGGACCCACAATTCCTTGCGCGCTATTTACGTTTCTTTTCCGATATTTAATAATTATATAATTCATATATTTAAATATATTGTGTGCTTTTTCAAACACAAAAATTATATTTTTCATAAATGAACACATTCATTCTGAATTATTATTTCACTAGAAAGTCTTATTTGCATAGTAAAAAGCTTAAATAGAAGTTTTCTAACAACAATTTTCTGAAAGAATATGACTTAAATTCTTCTCTCTGATCTGAAGTAGAGAATTAAACAAAATTCAAAAGCATAAAGTGTTGCTACGACTAACTACAGTTAAACTTCAATCCTGGAAGCATTGTTAAATTTCTAGGGTCATATTTAAATTATGAAAATTAAGCATGCAATCATTTTCCCCACATCAATCGGTCAAAATTTTTAGTCCTGAAGAACAATAATGACTGTTTATAAGAAAAAGCAACACTATACAAAATAACAGCAATATGATATATTTTGAAACATGGTACAGCAGGTAGCAGTTTGGACTGAACAGTTAGCTGGGCATAGATAAACTGGATAAACTGGATAAGCAGAGGTTTGGTAATGGCAAAGAAGCTGAGTTTGAACAGTGTCAAGTTTCTCTAAAGCACTTTATATATTCAATTCTGTAAAAGTGTTTTTGTATTCTTACACCATCACCAAAAGACACCAAGTAAATGTCACAAATACAGTAGAGTGTTGATTTTCCGAATCAATTGGGGACTGAGGTTGTCCGGATAACTGATATTTTGGATAACTGATTTACGTACAAAAAAATAGTTTAACGTATCCGATGTCGAAATTTTTCTCCGTTGCGTGTCACTTTGCGTTGAATTTTCGTCGATGTTAAGCCTAACAAAGACTATTGTATCGTTAAAAATTATTTTTTTAGTTTGTACAAACAAAATAAATATATTGAAAAATATAAAAATAATAAAAAATTATAGTTCAGATGTTAATTTAGTATCAAAAACGTAAAATATTTGAGTAGCCCAAGACATAGCCAAAGATTGAAGCGCCACAGCACTGGCAAAAATTTAAATTTGCCGACTGGAATTCTTTCGAATGATTGACTTTCGGAAAATCGACGCTCTACTGTATTGAAAGTTTATTTTTCAGTTTGAAAAAAAAAGGCATTACTAAACAAATGAAGATTAATGATTTTTTAAAAAAGGAGCAATGCAAATTGTGCTTGAAAATGAGAGAAAAATCAATAACATTGATTTTTGATTGAGTAAATTAATTGAGGTACATGAACATTTAAAAAAATTTTATATAGGCCCTCTGCACCTATTGTTTTCCTGGATGCATAATTTTTTGAGGTCTCCTGATGAAAACAATGAGTCAATGTTTCGTTGTCACTGTCCACTATGATAACTATCAATAGCAGAAATTTTGAAATTTCATTAATTATCCATAAAATGTTTGTGAAAAGTACTTTGTTTTTCCTATTTATCACCAAACTTTTTTGAAATTTCTCTAGCAACATGAATTAAAATTATCATCAGTTCATATGTCACAGGAGCAATTATTCAAATTTTTTGTATGTACTCTTCTAATAAATCTCCAGCATTCAGCATTTTTTCTATTTTGAGCATTATGATGATGATAAATTTCATTTGAAATTTCAACTACCTTTAGGAATACTTTTTGAAAACTCTGTAATAGGGAGAAAAATTATGAATGTAATTAAAACTAACTTTGATATCAAGTCTACTATATATATTTTATGATTATTCTAACATTTTCATTCTTCCATTACAGTTAAATTTTTTATATATTACTTCCTTTTTCTTATAAGCATTAATATGTTTTTCAATCATCATTACATATTTCAGCTTTAAAAAAATTTAAATGTAGAAGTCAAAAATTACTTTAAATTTACAAACACAAATAATTAGACTCAGCCATGATTCCAGCCACAAATTTTTATGACAACAGATACATAAATCGTAAATTTAAAGAATATAAATTCTAGAGCTTTTTTTGTACCTTGTGCATCTCAATTCATTAAATTTAGTTGTAATGCTGCCAAAGTTAGTTAATTTTTTAACATTGTACAAGATTGTACACTTTTTTTCCTACATTCCCTTAAAGATGGGACATACGAATCGTAATATCACTGGTTTAACATTGAAATCCGTAAATAATATAAGATGGGAGAGCGGAATAAAAATATCAAATATTTTAATGGATTTTTTTAAACTCCTGTCAACTATACAGAACTATCATAAAAACATACCAGTAAATTCTTATCGGTTGGGTTAAGTTATAAAGCTACTTGTGATTCACATAATGGGGCAAGGGTGGCCAAATATCTAGCAGGCAGGCAGCTAACAGCCCAGAACCAGTCCTGGATAGAATCATTGGAAGCATTTTGGTGTGTAGCTTCCACCAGCTAAATGGGTGAGGTTGATGCTCTGTAAAGCACATGCACAAATGCAAATAATCTGGCAGTTTGGAAGCGGACCCGGTTTCGACAATACAGCACTTCCATTCCGCCACTGATATTCGAATATACAATAGCAATCTTATCGTTTTTTTTCACATGTAATATAGAAATTTGTAATAAGATACATAATGCGGTTATAATAAAATACGTTAAAATATGAAAATAATTGCACAATATGTATTTATTTCTTAGAAAATACAAAGGAATCGGCACTTCCACCGCTTCCAGTGACGGCACGCCACTGAAATTTACTATTTTATGCTTTTAACCATTATCTTTGTCTTAAAATAATCTTATAAATCTTAATAAAAACTTTAAATTTTATTTACATTCATTTTCTTAATCATTTGTTTTAATAGCCGAAGTCTATTGTATACATTACACAAGAAATGGAAACATTTTAACAATGGGTTGCGTTTGTTTTGAAATGATAATAAATATTTAAATTATTAACAATATACATTACCTGTCCGGCAGTACACAATGCTAACAATGCTCCCATCTTAGTTTATTCGGATTTAAAATTACGGCTTTAAAAATAATTAAATTATAAAAGCGATTTAAAGATTATCACAAACGACGACTGCTGAACGTCAGATGCCAATGGCGTCATTCGATTATCGTTTGGACCCACAATTCCTTGCGCGCTATTTACGTTTCTTTTCCGATATTTAATAATTATATAATTCATATATTTAAATATATTGTATTATAACCTAAAATTAATAGTTGGTTTTAATCTTATGACAATAGTTTGCGTGATATAAATACGTTAATTTATATTTATATTGCATGTTGTTGAATATTTGATTGTAGTTTAGCATTTCTGTGATATAATATCGTGTTTTCAGTTATTTTATATTTTTAATTCGAGAATTTTCACTTTGAATATAATTATGTGGTGTCTTAGTATTGTATTCATATTGGAAATAATATTTTAATATTCATTTACTCCCGGGTTTGTTTTGTTTTTACTTTTTCCGTCCTGTGAGCACTAAGAGGGTCTCTAATAGCAGGACCATTATGGGATCGGCCAGGCCCACAATGGAGCGACCGGGTAGTGAGGGACGGGGCACGACACATCCGAACGGGCCACTCCCCGAAAAATTCCTGGGGATTCCTTGACGCGTCCGGATTCAATCCCGGGTCCCCCAGAGCGGTAGGCTGCTACCTTGACCGCTCGGCCATCCGGCCTACTCCCGGGTTATTTAATGTTAATCTAGCTGTATATAAAATGTAGTGAATAACAAAACAATCCTGTACGAACATTCTGATCAGATCAGGGATAAATATTTTCAAGTACTGTAATAAAATCAGATAATATGAATAAACATTTCTATCTTTATTTTTCTAGTCGTAATACAGTATATTTAGTTTTTACAGACAAAAAGAATTAGCTGTTTTCAAACTGGCGGGATTTTATAAAAGTGAGTTGGAAGAAGCACCGCCAATTTGCGCTGTGATTAGTCAGAATCAGTGACAGATTTTAACTACCACCAGTACACAGTGACGCGTTATAGATTCTTGGGGCCCAGGCAAATTTGAATTAGAGGGCCCCAAGTACAGTGTTGACTTCAGGCATTTTCATTCGAGGGATTTTTAGGGAATTCCCCAGTTTCCTCGTACGTTTTTAACACGACTTCTGAACGATTCTTTGCTGCGCCACACTGGCAATCTAGGGTCTTCAAATATGGCGCAAAATTTTAATTTCGAGATTCTTACTACAGTAATGAGTTTATGAAAGATTTGTTTGGGGCTATCTATTGGTGGGGACTCCAGGCAATTGCCCTTTTTTCCCATTGGATAACGTGCCACTGGAGTTAGAGTTATTACACATTTACATAGTCTAGATGAGTTTTTTTTTCTCTATTTTATTCTGATTCTAGAAATGCTTTGCATAGCTATCAAAAGAAAATCGTGTTTCTGTAGAAAGTGAAAGAAAATTTCGCATAAAATAACGATATTAATAAATATTCATAAAACATATTTGTTTTATAGGCTAAAATCTATTTCTTTTCGTAATTAATAAAGTTTTTCGTTGAAAAGTACGGATCCAAATACCATAGCAGGATATACTTAGCACATACAACTTATTTTAGGTACAGTACTGAATATTATACAATCTACTTTAAATTGAATAAATGTAATATAAATGAATTAATTAATTATAAAAAATTGTAGTTGTCGATAATGCGTTGATAAATGAAATCATTCTAAAAGTTAAAAGTACTGTATTGGATTTAGACTATATGCATTTATAATTACTTTTCATTGTGACAAGACAAAGTTAAATAACTATATTAACTGCAATAAAAAATAATAATTATTATTATAATTAAAACCTTTAACAAAACGAGCAATTATTTATTGTGACATCATATTGCACTTTTTAATTGCAATATTTAATCATATTTTTAATTTATTTATTTTAAAATATATGCTCTCCATCTCAAATTAGTACAGTAATGTACTGTACATTCTGTTTTTCCCTACACATCATACTTTTCCTGTTAGCAATAAAGTCGTGCTGGTCATCTAACTCTTTTTAGGGGAAATTTTGAATTAAAATAACATGACTTCCAGTCTGGACAGGAAGTTCGTATATAGTTAATTGGGGCCTCCTGTTCCTAAGCTTCTCATCTTTAATCTAACTTCATTCTCGACATTAAGAAAAGACAGACGGACGACAGTGGGAATTTGTGTCTACGATTTTTTCAAATTGCAGCCCAACAATAACTTTCTATAAACATACACGTTTATGAAAAGTATATACATTTTATGTTTATGTATTTAAAAAGATAACTGATTCGTGTATAGCTTAATTTTTTATATTTTTCCTCTCTAAAAGTTTCCTCTCTAAATTGCTGTCGAGATGTCAGATCGATCTTATAGAAGTGCAGTGGCAAGCCGATGAGCAATATAAATTTATACTCGTGTATCATGACCATCTATCTAAATTCGTTCAACTACGACCGTTAAAAACCAAAAGAACTGAAGATGTAGCATATGTTCTTTTAAACATTTTTACAATTTTCGGTGCACCGAATATTCTACAAAGCAATAACGACAGAAAATTCGCCCATAATATCATCAAAGAAATATGTAATATGTGGCTCGAGTTAAAAATGGTGCATGAAAAACACAGTCACTCACAAAGTCAGGGTTCAGTAGAAAGATGTAATTAAGACGTAAAAAATACGCTTAGTTCTTGGTTAGAGACTAACAATACTAACAAATGATCGGAAGGATTACGTTTTGTACAACTGATGAAAAATCGAGCTTATCATACTGGTATAAACTGCAGTCCCTATGAGACCATGTTTGGAGCAAAAATTTTTTTTAATCAAATTGCCCGAAGGGAATATAGCTTTATTCATAATGTCTGGTCAATTTAATAAATTAATCAATATTTATCAGACAACGCGCCCATGCCCTATTAATCACTTGGTCCATAACATATACAACTCCAGCTGATACTATGGATGTACCGTTGCTCTTTAATCAATTAATGTGTAATATATAACACGCATTTCAAATAAATGATAAAATTTTAATAGGAGGCACAGCCAAAACCACTGGTTAAATGTTTACGAATTGATCCCGAAAGATGTGCAAGAAGTTAAATCGAATTTGATCATTCGTCAGATTTTGAATCTTTTCGACGGTATTAGAGATGTATTTGAAGAACAGTACATCTCTATACTGTAGAAAAGAACCGAAAAAAATAGTACCCAATAATAATAATAATAATAATAATAATACAAATTTTCTTGTTTTAGAGGTGATTGGGAGTCATTTTCATTTATATTTATTATATTCATATATTTTTTAAGACGAAGAAATATGTCTGCATAGTTTAATATTGGATCATTACATAATAATTTAATACGAGCAATTATTTATTGTGACATCATCACAATGCCAGACTGCAATTTTTAGTCATATTTTTAATGTATTTAATTTAAAATATGTGCTTTTTACTTCAAATTAGTAGTAGCTTGTTCCTGTACATCATACTTTTTCTATAACAATACAGTCATGCCGGTCATCTATCTAACATCTTTCAGGAAAATTTTTTAAAATTCAAATGACGTGATTTCCTGTTTCTATTGGAAGTTCTTATGTAGTTAATCGGGGTCTCCTGCCCCTAAGGTTTCCATATCTGCTCTCGTCTTTTATCTCTCTAACTCTGTTCTCGAAATTAAGGAAAAACAGACGGACGGTGGGAATTTATAGGTCTACAATTTTTTTTTAAATTGCAGCTTAATAACAATTTAATATTTTAATATCTTTACACAATAAAAATTCAATCAAATTTCGATATAGTGTCCTCCTATATAACGATATTCTCGTAAGTTCCAACTAACAAATTATCACTTAATTTTATACTCATATCGTTATATGCCATTGTCTACCCTTCGACGATTCGAAGATCCAATGTGGATTTTTCGGCGTTTGAAAGTTATGAGAAAGAAATAAGCTGTAGTCCACAAGCGAGCTTTGCACGTGTTTGTGCTGTAATCTTTGTCTCGTTTCAGTTATGCTGTGTTTAATAAACAGATAGCTAAGCAGGTTTTAATAGATATAAGAATATAAATTATTTCATTGATTTTATAGAAATTATAAAAGTTATATACTATATACATATCACAATGACAAATTCATTTTTTATCGGGTCGGCGTTTTCGTTTATTTATTAAATCTCTACCAAATAGATAACAAATATAAGCCATTTTACAAACAAATTACCAAGCAATAGTTCGTAGAAGGATAGACGAAATGTTTATTGGTTTTTTAGAACTGTGTTATTAGTGATATTACAGGGGGCAACGTCGCCTGATCATTGAAGGAAAACAATCACGTGACCACAAAAATCGCTTCTGATGTCACACGACGGAATCTACTAGTATGCGCCAGGCTTAATGTGTTAAATTTCACAGCTGTTATAATTAAATCGCACATCTATGCTAAGTAAAGAAAACTGTTAAAATATGAAATGATTAATTTGATTTCCATTATTTCTAATGGGGAAATACGATTCGGACTTCGAACAATTCAGAATTCGAACAGCCTTTGGAATGAATTACATTCGAAGTATGAGGCACCATTGTATATCTGTTTCCGGAAAATAAGCAATTTCACTTAAATATAAAAATATATTCTTATAAAAGTATTTTTTACCTTTATTTGTTGCATCGAATAGACAAAAACATAATTAATTTACTGTATTTAACTTGTAGAAATAAAACTCCCTTAATTAAAAGTATTTTTTACTTCGTTTCATGTAGCCTATAATGCATGTTATCTTATTTTAAGAGATGTAGACTATAATATAATTTTTAAAAATTTTATATAAATAAAAATGCGTTGTTTGAAATATCGTTTTCTTCATTATTTTAATTGTTTCAAATTCATTCATTCATTTGATATGCCACTTATTGCGATGCTTTTCTTTACGATTATTGTTACAAGTAGACTTATAATACGAGGTAATTTATTCGATTTATACATATAATATACCATTTTTATGTGCCTAATAATTCTCCAGACGTAGAATGTGACATAAAGATCATAATTCATTTAATTTACATAAATTAAATTAAAATGAATCAAGTTACTTCTTAGGAAAGCTTTTTAATGTTAACTTTAACAACAACAATTTCTGATTAATTAACCAAGTAATCAAAGAATTTTCTTAACAAGAAATAAAGTTTTCATCTTCTTTCTGATAAGGAAGAGATAAAATAAAATACATAAATTTAAATGAAAAACTTAAATATGTTATAAATATTATCGAATTAAAAAGAATAAAAGAGATAATTTTTTTGTTCGATAGCTTTAACCCAGATCATACCGTTATCGTTCCATAATTGTAGTGTTAATATCTCTCTTAAAAAAACCTTTTATCTCTGAATTTAATAAACATTTGGCGTCACCTGTCATATATTGAACAACAATGAAATCGAATCCGTTTTTTAGAATCCTATTTAGTTTACAACAAAATGTGTTGATAAAGAGATGATCCATTGTCTGGATAAGCTGATGCGATCGCCAGCTGTCCGATTACTCTATTCGAAATAATTGTAAAAGGGTTTGCGTTCTTCGTCTTATTGTGGTGGGTGAAGGCGACCAAACCCCTTTTATTCCCCTGCACCGGATTGGGAAGGGTGGCAGGTGAGGAGTTTTCAAGTGGACGACACATGTAAGGGCTGTTGTCGCAGCATCATCTTTGCTTATCAGTCTGCCTGTTGTCAGCGGATTGCCCCTGTTCATCTGCAGAGTTCACCTTATACAAAAGGTAATGTTTGTTCCTAACTATATAAAAAATATACATTTCCATTCATCGTTTAATGCTATCCATTAATTTTTTCCATCTATAAAAATTCTTACATAGTAAAAGAGCTATTATGAGAAAGGATTCATATGAAATTTAGAAGAGTTTATTATAAAAACACCAGATAACTTTTTATATTAATTAATAGGCCTACTATAAATTAATATTAGCAAATATATTATTTTAATATATTTAAAAATTATTTTTTATATAAATTAGAAGTCTTTTATAGCATATTCGTGAAGGTTAGTTACAATGTATTGAAATGCAAATTAATGGGAACAAGCAGACTGTCTGGATAAAGATCTTTTTTTTTTGTACAATTTAATCTAGAGTAGAATATAATTACCAAATTAATTATTTACTATTTATATTCATGTTTACCCAGCTAAATTAATTTAATATATGTAAAATATTTATTTTCACTGAATCTAATTAAACAGTAGAAAAATTATATCAACTTCAAGGTTACATAAATAGTAATTTCCATTACAAAGCATTTATACTGGGCTTACATTTATTTATAGTCTCTTCATTTAATAAGAATTATTCTAATTATAAAACAAATAACAATATGAAATTAATTATAAGAAATAAATATTTACAAATTAAAACTTATTAATATTTTTAATTCTATTTAGCTTATTAGATATGGAAAATAAAATTGAGAAGACCAACGATTCTGCTCCAATATTAGATACAACATTTGATCTTTGGGATCATTCGTGTTTACAGCCTCCTCTTTTAACTGGTCTTCAAAATATTTCACAAATTTTAAAATGTTTAAAAGACGGAACGTCCGAAGTAAAACATCTTATTCTAAAAGGATGCAACATTATCTACGAATGCAAACTCTGTTGCAGTTTATATCGTAGCTTGGCAAACTTTTTAGCTCATAAAAGGTATTATTGTAAAGGAAAAAATATAGAAATAATATCAAATAGTAAATTACAAAACTCTGATTCGAAATTAATTCAAACAGAATACGAAGAAAAAGATAAAGAAAATTTTCCTGTAGTTAACGTGAATGAATCTCTTAAAGCAGTTAATAGAAACAAGAGTCCAGATTTGCACGAAGTTAAAGGTAATTTAGAAGATAAATTAGTTAAAAACGACATTTCAAATAACATTAGTGAATTTTCTGATAAAACTCAAACAGTAGAAGAAAATAAAAATAATCAACAAAATAACATTATATCGTCCGCAAAAATTACAACTTTATCTACGATGAAAAGTAGAGCAAAGAGATTATCCAGCAGAACGGATTGTAATCTACAGTCTCTAACTTGTTTAACTTGCGACACTAAATATACATCAATTAAAACTTTATATCTACACATGATAACAATACACTCAAATAAACGCCCGTATTATCCGTGTCCATTTTGTAATACATCTTTCGTTCAAATGTGGGGTGTGACTAGACATTTAACATCCGTTCATAATAAATCGAAAGAACAAATAAATAAATTAAGAGAAGTTGTGAGAAAAAATGCTTTTACGAGGAAAGTTACAGCCACCGAAAACAATTCTAGTTTAGAAAGGAATAAGATATATAAAAATCAACGATGTTGTAAGTGTGAACGATTATTTAACCGAAAATCATCGCGAGTTCGACACGAAAAATATTGCAGGAAAAACAGCGTAACGACGAATAACAAGAGAAAGAATAACTATATAGGAAAACTATTTGTATCTACCAATATAGAAAATAAAGTTAAAGAAATGATAGATGCTAAGAAATTAATTTGTTTGAAATGCCGAAGAAGATTTTCTACCTTTTCTAATTTAAGACGACACGCTGCTATTCACGCCGGATGGACAAGATACAAATGCAAGTTTTGCTATTATCAATCATATAACAGATCGGATTGTAAAACTCATATTCGAAGAATGCATTCATCTGAAGGAGATGCTAATAAATTTATTGTAGATTTACCTTCGGTTAAAGCATCCGTCACTAAAATTGATTCTTTATGCCATCGATCCACAAAATCCGAAACCACTCAAAGAAATTTAAAGAAAACAAATAAGAGCATATGTGAAGGAATTACTTCCGATATTCAAAATAATCCATCGGATGCATTAGTTACAAGATCAAAACGATATCCAAAAATTCATCAGAATCTAAGTAAATGTTTATCAAACGGNAGCATATTAATATATTATCGACTTGACAAACTAAATAAACTAAGAATCGAAAGTCAGAATAGAATTTATATTATAGAATAATTAAATAATCCTTCGCCGAAGTTATTAATATTATAAAAAAAAACGAGTTTGAGTCGGTAACAAATATAACGAACTTCCCATCTAGACCACCTTTTAGCAAGCTCATATGGGTTCGTTCAGGCATGCAAAGTAGTGAAGGTCGGGACCCGATATATTCGGAAGACCATTCATAAAAAAATTCTTGGGGTTTTTCAAATAATTTAATAAATAAATTACTTTTATTTCTTTTATTTTTTTAAATCGTTCCTAATACCTTTTTGACTAATACGCATCACGCGTAGTGAACCACACAGAGCACCACAATGCGTGTTTATATAACAGTACACATGTTCCGGCTCTATCAACAAAGCTTATATTTAGACCTACAAGTTTGCACAGGTCATGACAATATTAATACACATAATAATTAATCGAAGCTATGCATGTTTTGACAAGTTCATTAAGTATCTTTAAATAAATTAAATAAATACGTGATGCTTTTTATCCATACGAGATTGTTTCGAAGTTCCTTCAGAGCAAGTGTAAATCTAAAATTTCTGTGCGGTATATGCAGATCACATTCAAAGGATAACGTACCTGGACCACTTATTAAAAATATATTTTTATTGTAATAACTATTTGCCACGGAGGTAAATACGTACTATACAGTACATATTGACTATTTTTGTTTATTATTCTTTTTACCACTGACGATAGTCACGTAATTTAATACGGTGACGGTTGGTCCTGTGTGGAGCACAGCAGATTATTTTTATTGATTTTATTTTTACATATAAACCCATGTCGGATTCAGAGAAAAAATGTAGATATATAATGTCGAATATTTGAAATATGGTTTTATTCAGGCACTCTTAAACAAGACATTACCAATGGACTATACCTGATTTGCCAGAGAGTTTTCTCAAATGAAGCCACTAAACCTTCACGATTAGAAGAACAATTGACTAAAATACATTCTAACAGAAAAGATAAAAATTTATCTTACTTTCAAATGCTCAAAGAAAAACATTCGAGACGTCCAACTTTAGCTGGTATGTTTTCAGCGGCATCGAAACAAGACGGGTTACGTGCCTCTTACAACATTTCCTTGCTTATTGGTAAATCGGGAAAACTGCACACTATTAGAGAAGAATTGATACAGTAGAGTCCCGAAAACTCGGCATTCGATAACCCGGCAGTCCGGATAACTCGGCCACACCCTAGCAGGGCGAAAAAACCCCTAGTTAATTTTCATTACTGACAGCTTTATGCCTCATAAAGTATTTTTCTGAGATCTGTCTTATCAGGTAAATTACTGTACACTGTATTCATTAATTTTCATTTTCATGTAGTAAAGGCTCTATGCCTTCATAAAGTACGCAGGCCTACTTTTCTTTTGTTTAAGGGTATTTGGGCAGTTTATTCTCTGTTGTATTCTCAAGCAAACAATACACACAAGTACAGTATAGTATTTTCTGAGGAAACACTCGTACTTATTCTTTTTTAATTCCATTTTCGATAACCCGGCATTTTCACAAACTCGGCCACCCTTCGGTCCACATTAGGCCGAGTTTTCGGGACTCTACTGTATTGCCAGTTGTGAGTGAGGTTCTGCGTACTGTACTGCACAAGCCACCATATGATATTATTAAGAAAATCCCATTAATCAATAATACAGTACAGAGACGAATCAACGAAATGTCCAAGAATGTGGCGAGTTCTCTAACTGATTTTTTAAAAGACTACTATTTCAATCGTTTGCTATTGCACACAGAAACTCTTTGGCTATCAAAGGGTATCCGTGTAAAAAGATGTTATGACCTCTTTGACTCAGTTATAATATTTTTTGACAACAATGATGATTCGTTAAGAGAGAATTTATTGAAATTTAAGAATAATATAGCTTATTCTTCTAACACAATAAAGTGCTATAAATTAAGACACTTGGCGGGTTTTCTCATCTTTATTTAGTTGATACGTGTGAACATTTTACACGTTTCGGGCTCTTAAGCCCCTCTTCAGCCAACTAAAACATTAAAAAAGAATATAACATACATATAAAAAACACAAGTTTTGTAGAATTCATAAAAATCTAAAACATACTATGTATATAAGTCTTATAGATTTTTATGAATTCTACAAAACTTGTGTTTTTTATATGTATGTTATATTCTTTTTTAATGTTTTAGTTGGCTGAAGAGGGGCTTAAGAGCCCGAAACGTGTAAAATGTTCACACGTATCAACTAAATAAAGATGAGAAAACCCGCCAAGTGTCTTAATTTATAGCACTTTATTGTGTTAGAAGAATAAACAAATTGTAAAGCACGGTTTCATATCATCAAAATAATATAGCTTATTTAATTGATTTATATAATAAACTTAATGAAACGAATCTACAGCTGCAAGGAGACGATTTGATCAAAGCAAAAGCAACTATTTCTGCGTTCGTGTCAAAACTTGCCTTGTAAAAACAAAATTTGGATCGAAGACAATTCTATCAGTTCCGAATCTTTCATCTGTGGAAACAAATGATGACGACATTCTTGTATTTTGCTAGCATTTGGAAGCACTTAAAGAAGATTTTACAAATAGATTTCAGGATGTCCTTAACACCATCATTCCAGATTGGGTACTAGAACCCTTCTCAAACCAACAAACAGCAGAATTATCACTGCAGGAGAAGTCGATAGAATTGCCAACAAATAAAGAGTTAAAATTGAAATTAAAAAGATACATATGAAGAATTTTGGCTTCAAAGGCAAATTCCAGTATTATATCCGGCTTCATGGACTGCATTTTCATTGCATTCCCATCATCATATTTAGCAGAAAAGGGGATTTAGCATAGTCAGCAATTTACTAACAAAGAAAAGAAAGAGATTGTCAATAGTGGAACGCGGTAATTTAAGATTGCTGATGACAAATATGGCACCATATATCGAAAAATTAGTATCAGTATTATTACACCAAGCTCATTCCTCTCACTAATCATATTATATTAATAGTTTTAATAATATATAATTGTTAATGAAACTTTGAGCAGTAATCCAATATTGTTAATATCTTTTAATAAAGTGCAGTAATACCTCGACTTACGCAAACCCGGAGTTACGCGATTTTCAAATCTCGTCGATTCGTCTTTTGAGCGCCACGCAACTCTTGATTACTCACTCCCCTCACACTATTGTTCGGCTTACATGTTTGGACGTGTCGCGCGGAATCGACACATAGCTACAATTTATTTTGTGTTATTTCTGTGTTTGTTATATCTACGGAGCCTTCAGAGACTCTTTGTGATGATTTCTTGTAACCGTGAACGAATCAAAAGAAGAGATAAGATTAACGAGAACATTTATTAGCTTACATACATCCGACTTGGATTTTACACGAATTGCGAAATTATACCCCGACTTACGCAAATTCGACTTACGCGGTTATCGCTCGGTCCCACCTATCGCGTAAGTTCGGGATAACACTGTAATTTTAAAAATATGTCCATGTTTTTCAATATATAATATAGTATGCTTTACCTAAGAGAGGCGCCATCGAATAGCTGTTTGAAAAAGTGGGCTATGACCCAAAAAGTTGGAAAACTATGGGTTATATTATTAATTTCAAGAACGGAAGTCGATTGGTATAATTTTTTTTTTTTTTCGAAAAGGGTGCGATAGACCAAAAAAGATTGGGAATCTATAAGTTAGATAGATGACCGGCACTCTACTGCTAACAGGAAAAGTATGATGTACAGGGGCAAGCCACTACTAATTTGAGATGGAGAGCATATTTTTTAAATTAAATAAATTAAAAACATGATTAAAAATTGCAGCACGACATTGTGACGATGTCACAATAAATAATTGCTCGTTCTATATTTCGATTCAATTTTATTTGTGTGTTATTAAGATGGTTATTTTTTTTATTCGAATAATTAAAGTAAAAAAATTTAATCTCACTACGCATTTACAAGATGGCGCTATCGACTGGAGAGGTAACTTTTTCTATTCTAACTAACCATTATGTTTAAATTTTGTTGTGTGTTTAATTCTATAAACCTGACTACGACTTAAATACAATTGCAAATGTTAATTCTTCTACTAAATTCATTTCTACCTGCTAAATTATAGGTATTTTTAAGTGTTTTTATAGTGTAGGTGTAATCTAACATCACTATAAAAACACTAAAAAAACAATAAATTAAACTAAATAATAATATACAAACAAAATAAAACCAATTTATTATATTATAGTGATGTTAGCTATAATCTAATATCACTATAATATAATAAAGTACAGTACTTTATATGGAAATTAATTCTGTATATAAATATAAATGCACAGAAGAATCAAAATTTTATATCATTTTATACTTCTGTCTACTTGTTAATATACCAAATGATCACAAGATTTATTATAAGACTATTTTTTGGTGATAGAATAGCCTGATAATAAATCCGACAATGGTTTGGCATATTACTAAAATGATGGCTTCGGGATGCTTATACTTGTTAAGATATAATAATAATTTGTCTTATTTTCCATTTTTCTTTTTTATTAATGAAACAGAAGAATATAATTTCATCAATAAATTTATATAAGTTAAATTTATAAAGAATAATTGCATTTTAGCTTTAATTTATCCATAATTTTAAATACTAAATGTTAGGTAATAATATATGAACATAATAACTTGATTTCAAAATTTAGGTAAAATCATGATTAGTTATCATTTATTATTAAAACATTAAATTTAATTCTTACTAATTGATATTACATCATTAATTAATTCTTTATTTATTTATATTTGACTTATAAAATGTGAGAAAAACAATGCTATTTAAATATTTAATAATAATTATATTTACTTAAATAAATTTTTTTGATAAATTCTCAATCTTTTATACAATAAATTAAAGAAATTTGAATTATCTGAAATTTTCAAATTCAATTTCTTTTTTTATTTTTTAACTTTACATATGGTAATGTTCTGGCAAACAAGTAATTACCACTCCCAAACAAAACTTCTGATTAAAAGTAAAATAAATAAATAAATCACTATAATATAATAAAGTACTTTATATACTACTTTATTATACTGTATATGGAAATTAATTAATTAATAAATGAACAGAAGGATCAAAATTTTATATTCTTTTATACTTCTATCTACTTGTTAATAATACAATACCAAATGATTACTAGATTTATTATAAGACTATATTTTAGGGGAAGAATAGCCTAATATAAATCTGACCATAAATAAATTTATGGTCAGATTTCTACATTCTCCAGTGTTCTTATCAACTTTTCTGTCAATCTAGTGGGAAAGTTATTAATTTAATCTAAATAGTTTCAAATTTAGAAAATGTACAATTTCTTATAATAGAGCTTCCTTAATAAATTAATTATACAATAAAATATTTAGTGAAAGTAATTTTATAATTTTTTTTTTCCTAGGAATCTTTTAAGAATACTTTAGGAACATTAGGAAGTTTAAAATACAGTGAAATGTTGGTATAACAAATGCCAGTTTAACTGAATTTTCGGTATAATGAATATAGCTTGAATCCCCATCCAATTTCCTATTCAGTTCAATGCAAAAATGTTTGTTTAATGAATACCATCATAATGAAAATTTCAGTTTAATGTAATAAAAATTCTGTCTGTTACAAAAGAATAGTTTCATTATAATGAAATCTATAAATGCATAAATCATTCATTATTAATAAATGATGAATATTATGTTGTGCCAGCCCTTTTCTACAAAGAAATATTATATTTTTAATTGTGTTGGGATTGTCACCTGTGGACATTTTAAACTGTTTTACATATTTGTGCAGAGGCATAGCCTCTAAAGAAAGGTTGTCTCTGCAATGGAAATAGTTGTTCCTGGTGATTGGACATGGCAAGCAAAATTGGACTCGTATCCAGATGTATTTTACTTTTTATTAAATGATGAATATTATGTCAAACAGTCTAGCCATATTAATTTTAATGTCTAGATCAACTAGCAACACTAATTTTAATCCTTAGTTATGGTTTCATTTTGATGTTATTACTCTAAAGTTTATGAGAAAAAATGGAGAAAAACAAAGAATGAAAAGAATTTTCTTTGGAAGAGAACAATAAAATATTAGATAATATGTAAAAAGAAATTAAACAAAAAGATGTGCCTGATGGCCTACTGGAATGCTCAGTACTGGATTTTATCAAAAAAAGATTGATTAAAGAAACAACATACACGAAAATTAACTTCTTTTACCAGAAAATAATGGCTTCAAGCAAAAATAACAATTAAAAAGGCAGGATTCAAACTAATCTGTACTATTATATTGTTATTTTAGTTGTTTGCTCATGATATTTTTTGATAATTTTTTTTATTACAGATCAATTTTTATTCTAATTTAATATAACTTACATTTTGAAAATTTGGTTCCATATAAATACTAACAGCTTTCTTACCTCAAAATGTAAGCAATTTTTTTTATCATCAATAAATTTCATCCTTACATTTTTGACTATTTTAATATAACAAAATTATTTCAATGGTCCCTTCAATTTCATTTTACCAACATTTTACTGTATAGACTAAATACTGAAACTATGATTTCTACATTGAAATTAAACTAAATGGTAAGTGTATTCTGTTTAATTTTTAAAATATATTAATTATATGATGATTTCTTTTACCTGAATACATTTTGATGTAAATGGTTCCCAACGTTCTGATTTTTTTCATTGATTATTCATTATATTAAAATTCAATTGATACTAAATTAGAATTTTTTTGCAGATGGTGGTTTAAATTTTGAAAAAATTCAAAATTTAAGTGTGTAAGCATACACAGAAAATGAATGGGAGAGAACTAAAAATGAGACTTGTATAGTGTACTGTATTTGTCTTTGGTGGGTTTTCAGAAAAATTGTGTTGACATATGATTGCCTGTTATGCATAAAGTACTTTTCATGTTTCTAAAGATTCTCTTGGTTAGAATGAATCTGTAATTAAAGTTAACCTTTAGTGCATAGCCCACACTTGCTTTTAAATTCATTTTTAATTGCAGATAACACATGGATTATCTACATCTTAATTGGATAATAAACATAATTTCAATAGAAAAACTTTGTTTGCTCTTCCTAATACTATAGTTAATAATTGTGGAATTAACCATGTATCTTTAGTAAAAATGTTGTTATTGTTACTACTGAGCAAAATATTTTGCTCAGTAGTTATATTAAAGTTTGTAATGATGAAATAGAAAACTTCCTTTTACAGTTTGTTGCTATCAACTTTAGCTGATTAGCTAGTGTTGATAGTTTCCTTTGTATTATATTTATTTAAATTAAATGTAAATATTTAGTATTATTTTAAATAAATGTTTAATTTTTTCACTAAAAAGTTGAATATTAGTCAATACATTTTTGATATAAACAATATCAAATATTTAAAAAAAATTTACTACATATTTTAAAACTATTTCATGCAATTGATTTAGAAAAGCATTTGCCACAATGCTGGGTTGCAATTTTTAATATTTTTAATTAATTTAATTTAAAATATATATACTTTCCACCTCCCCTGTACATCATACTTTTCCTGTTAGCAATAGAGTGGCAGTCATCTATCTAATTTCTTTCAGGGGAAAATTTTTGAATTGAAATAACATGACTTCCAGTTTGCATCAGAAGTTTGTATATATTCAATAGTTAATTGGGACTTCATGCCCCTAAATTTCCATATCTGGTCTTGGCTTTCATCTATCTAACACCATTCTGAAGATTAAGAAGAAAGGGCAGACAGATGGACAACAGTGGAAACTTTTAGGTCTACAATTTTTCCAAATTGCAGCCCAATAAGTATATAGGAATGTAGTAAATTTTGTGAAGATATTTGATAGTGTATGTACTGTACACATGGCATCACTCCTTTTGTTTCATAAGGAAGTCATTTTCATTTTAAGTGATTTCAAAAACATTTTACAAATTGCATTAAAGCTAGTGTTTTACAGAATTATTCCCCAACACACTGTAAAACATATAGCCCAACTTTTCTGTGGAACTCGTACCACTTCACTATCCAGGAATGTGCTGTGCTGGACAAATAACATATAGTGTGAACTGTGTGTACATAAACCTAAGCCCAAAATAACTTAGTAGTTATCTTCTATGAAGAAAATCATAATCAAATTAATAAAATAATTCTGCATTTTAACTTACATGAGTATATGCATAAATAATTTGAAAAATATTGCTTATAAAAAACAATTTACATTTATTGACAATAAAACTATACAATGGATAAATTTAAAGATATGAATATGATGATTATTTTACTAATTTTTTCATGGATGAATTTTTTTATAAATAAAAAAATAGTTTGGTATTTTCAAGTTGGAATAGATAACTGATTTGCAGTCATTACTAATATCTCTTCTGTTTTTTTCCTCCAATTTGCAATATCTTTAGAAATTTGACACCAATGTTCTCCATGGTGAGGTTCTGCATTAACACACCTTTTTTTGACATCCTCTTGTTGCTCCTAATAATAGTAATGGACATAGTATTATTAATTTGATAAATTTATGAAAAAAAGATATTCTAAAAAATGTTTACTAGAACCTTAAATAAAGTAAGGACTTGTTACCTCAAGGAGGAGGTCACACAATCATTTTTTAGAAAAACGATTGCCTGTCCTCTAGTTTTTGTGTGTTCCTTCTAATTGATGTAACAAGTCTTTACTTTATTTAGAGTACTTAATTGCTTGTCCTTATTTTAAGATTATAAAAAATAATTTATGAATTAAAAAATTTACAAACCTCTGTACCATGAAGTAATTCAAATTTATAATAATAAGCCCAAGCATCTCCTAAATCGGGATCAATTTTAACAGTTCGATTAAACCATTCTCTTGCTTTATTCATTTTTCTTTCAGTCCAAAACAATCTAAAATTTTCAAAAATATTTTAATATTTGCTTTTTTATAATGTAATAATTAAAATGACTTACTTAGAAACAGCAAGAAGAACATGAGGATCATGTTCGCAACGTTTCAGTGCGTCAACACTCTTCGTCTTACGCTGAGGTCGTGCTTCCATAAAAATGGCTTCTGCCCAAAGAATCCCGCTATTGGGGCAATCCTGCATAGCTGAAATATATTTTTTTTTTGTTTGTTTTTTGACTCAATTTTTAACAGTTCTTATTTTTCTTAATTTTTTTTTCGTTTCTTAATTTTATTAATTACCTTTTGCTATTAAAGTCAAAGCAATATCTTTTAGTCCACCACGAAGTTCTACTCTCACAGCTTCTAACCACAATTCGGCACATTTTGGATTTCGTAACCGAGCTTTTTCTAAGACTGATCGTGCTTTAATGAGTGCACCTCCTTTCTCTTCAAGTTGCGACAGAAGTAACCAAACAGGAATAGAAGTTGGACATTTTTTCAACTGCAATGACAAAATAAAATTAAATTTTTAATAGATTTCTAATAGATTTCTAATATAAAGAAATTTAAAATATTATTTATCCATTTATTTACCCCTAGATTGTATGCTTCACGAGCTTCATCAATCTTGTTTTCTTGTTCCAATATTTGGCCTTTCATCATCCATAGTTTTGCAAAGTCAGGATACAGTTTTAATCCTTCTTCAAGTAGATTTTTTGCTTCTATTAAATCTCCCAAAGCCCATTCTAATTTCACAGATTTCATCATAACCTTTATTAAAAAGTTTAAATCAAAATTATTTAAAAGTTCTTTTCTTCATCTTATATTTTAAAGAATTATCTTAACAATATATTACCCTGGCTGTTGGAGCACTAGCTCTAGCTTTGGCTAGAAGTCGTCTAGCTCTTTCATACTCATTATTTTCACTTTCTAATTTGACTGCAGCTAACCAAATTTCTTCACTGTTGGGATTAGCTTGAAAGGCCAATGACAGAATGCTTCTTGCAGCAGGTACATCATTCTAAAAATTTATAATTATTATTTTAGCTCTTGATAATACAGATTAATTTACTGACTTAAATTATCTACATTAGAATCAGAATGTTAATTTTCTACTGAATAATAAAATTTTGATGTGGATATTTTGCAATTATAGATTATTTCTGTAGCCAAATACTAAATGAGCATTTTAAAAATTCTATTAGAAAAGTTTTTATCATAAGATCTAGAAAATTCCAGAAACTTTCGTATCAGCTCAATATTAACTTTAAATTTTTTATGAGAAGAAATATGTAAAATATAAAATTGTATCCCCAAAAATGAATTGACTATATTAGAATGTTTTATGTTTGCCATTTCATGATTATAATTTGAAATACTTACTGCTAACCACTTTGACTTTGCTCCCATCAGCCATAGTACTTCTGCCTTTGGACAATGTGCTACAGCTCTTTGTAAGAGTGATTCCAATGATTCTCTGTTAAAATAAAAATATTAGTATTAATTTAGTATTTTAGTATTAGTAAATTAGTATTTTAATTCTACTTAAAATAACAATTATAAAAAAATCCAACCTTGTTCCATGATTTTTTTCAAAATAAGCTGCTCTAAGCCAAATGCTTTTTTTACTTGGAAAAACTGATAGGGCATGAGCATAAATAGCTCTTGAACATTCAAATGCTCCTTGAGAAGCACACTAGTAAAAACAAATTTATTTAAATAAAATATTTAATTAATAAATAGAAAAATATTCTGATTAATAAAAAACTCTGATTTCTGATAAAAATAAAAATTCTGATTAATACTCAACTGCATCAGCATCTTCCATCCAGGCATGCTTACGATCCTCATCTTCAACACCAATACCAATTACAGTCCGAATAATAGCCTGACATGTCAAAACAGATCCGGCTTTCTCACATTCAATACCATCCTTAAGCCACTGTTCTCTATTTATCTCTACTCCATTTGCTCTAAGAGATGCAATGGCTGAAGAATAAAATAAAAGTTGTTATAATAACTTTGGATATATTTACTATTATAACAATATATGTATATAGTTATAATGTATATATTATAAAATTATACATTAAGTAAATAAATAAATTTAAAATAATTTATACCTCTGTCTATGATTTTTTCTACCATATGGTGACTGCCACAAGCCTCCTCTAACTTAGCTGCAGTAATCCATATTTGTCGATCTGTAGGTATATTTTCACGTGCTTTGTTTAAAACCTAAAAGTGATTAAGTGAATTGTCAAAATGGTTTAGCTTTTTTTATTTTAAATTTGTACTATAAATAATTTTTAAGTGTTAAAATATTCAAAATGAAACAGTTTAACAAATTACATACTTTCCGAGCATTTTCGTAAGTTTCCAAACGTGCAAGAGCTAACCATAATTCCACACTTGTAGGACAGCATTCTACTGCACGACTTAATAATATTCGAGCATCATCTGGTTCTTCCAATTCTACAGCAGCTTTCCAAAGTCTAACAGAATTTGGAATATGCTCAAGTGCCTAAAAATTAATTTTAAAATTCTTAATAATGATGATGATAATAATTCAAATTGCTTGAACTAAAGTATCTAATACCTTTCGATATACTCTTCTTTTTCCTTTTATTTCAATTTCAAGATCTGCTGCTTTAATCCATATACGAACAGAGGAAGGAATATGTCGAACAGCTTGTGCTATTACAGCTTTAGCAAGATCTGTAGGCTGAAATATTTATAATTTCATTTTATTATTACAAAATTAAATTATAAATATTTATAATTATTTTATTATTAAGTTTTTCTCTGCTTCTCATTATTTTAGTTATATTAATTTAACACAAAAATATATGCTTATTTTCAGATGCAGAAGCAACAAAGATAATAGAAAAAAAAAAAGAAATACAGAAATGCACATAAATTAAAATTGTTATATTTTCTCTGGTTATAATGAGCATACTTCACGGATACACTGAGCAAATTTTCAGTAGCTATTCCAACATGAGCATTCTTAATTGTTCAAGTAGTAAGAAATGTGGTACCAAATTTTTGGAAGAGATAAAACTGAAAGGGATAATTAGTTTTATGGACTGCTTGGATTACAAGCCTGATTACCATTTAATTTTCTTTTTGGAGACCATCCCTTTCTTTGTTGACTTCCAGCCCTGCTATGCAAATTTACCTAATCATCACTACAATTGTAAAATTACCATATACTCCAATTAGAAATGAAACAAACCTTTCATAAGAAAGATGTCTATGAAGAAAAGAAAATGGCTCTCAGTTTACGAAAAAATTAAAAATATTTACAAATTAGAACGTGGTGCTAAAAATGTCAGTGTGTAGAAAGTTTTCTTTGTCTTCTTTGACAATGTCGACATTCTGGAAAAATAAAGATAGGAGATGGAGAAAAATATAACCAAAACAAAAAAGTTTAGAAAGTGTGAGCAGGCAAACATCACCAAAAACCTGTTTCAATGGTTTAGTACATAGAAAGTACTGGGTTTTCAAAGATGGACCAATCTTGAAAGTCCATGAAGAAAAATTTGCTAGACGTTTTGCTAGACAAATTTGGATGTGGCAATTTTGTATGTAGCAATGGTTGGATGGATCAATTCAAAACCCAACATAACATTGTTTATTCAAAAATTACAGGAAAATTTCAATCTGCTGATCCAGTAACTGCAAATGAATGGATTGACCATGTTTGGATATAAATAAGGAAAGATTTTAATGACAAAGATAGCCACAATGCCAATGAAATGGAACTTTTTCATAATATGATGCCTGACTCCACATTTAAATTCAAAGAGGAAAAATGTATTGATGGAAAAAAATCAAAGAATTGCTTGACAAAGATGATCATAATCATTAAATCATTAAAATCAGGGTGTTTTAAGAACATAAGGAATCTTCCTGTGGATTATACTGTAAACAAAAAAACCTGAAAAACTTCAAATATTTTTTGGCAGTACTTAAGTGATTGGAATAAGGAACTATCCAAAAAGAAAACAATTTTATTGCTAGTTCATAACTATCTGGCATATCCCCAGATTCAAAATTTGTGCATCAAGCTAGTGTTTCTGCCTCCCAATGTTGCATCAATTTTACAATTGATGGACATGAATGTAATCAAATGTTGGAAAGGATTTTATAAAGATTTATAGTTTTGCATTTAATCCATCAAAGAGAACAGAAGTTTAATGAATTTACATTGATATTGGATGCCATAAATTTGTTAAGTGATGCATGGAACAATGTTACTTTGACAACCATATCAAACTGTTTAAAAAAAACTGAAATTAAATACAAATGAAATTTCAATGTCAAATGATGTTAATGAAAAAAAATCTATCCAAGTTATTGTCATGTAGTCCTATGCCATCTTATCCAGGAGATAGAAAAANATTTTGAGAGAAAGAAGAGGAAAAAATATTGTAGTTGCTGTTATAAAAATAAGTTTAAATTTAAAAAATAATCTTGAAAATTTTAATATTTGATCAAAAATTTACGAACCTGGAGGATGGTTTGGATTTGTTTCTCTCACAGATTTCAGTAATAAACGAGCTTTCTTGATATCACTGAAAAAGTGTACATACCATTACATAACAGAAAAAATGTAGATCAATAAAAATTTAATTTAAATTAAAGGAATAAGGTGATCAAAATTAAATTTACAAAACTAATAACACAAAAATACTTTTGATATGGAAGAAAAATACAGGATTTATTTTTAGTCAATACACTATTTCTCAGCAAAATCATCTGGTCTAGGAGGCATTTATTTCAAATTGTTCCTCAAAACATTCCAGACCTTATTGTAGCCACCCAGTGATAACAATTTTCACTTCATCAATATTAAAATAATTATCATGTATATGTTCTTTCAAATTTGAAAAATGTAAGTCAGAAGGGACTAGATATGAACTATATGGAAATATTGCAAGATGTTAATGCATGCAGAATCAACATTGCACAGACCTTATGGTACCATAAATCATTAGTTTCATCACGAATAATGTGCTTTAAAGTTTTATATGCCAAGCTGAAAGGTAATTTTCCACAAAGTGATGTACAAAAAGTCCTCACTTAATGTCATTATGTTGTTGAGGAAAGATGTAAGTAAATTTGTAATCATTTACAACTATCATTGATGAATCTTCTTTATAAACAGTAAAATTGACTCTACAAGGTGGGAAATAAATTCCCAAGATTATAAACATAATCCACTAAGATTATTATTAACAAGAATTTTTCTTGAAATCTAATTAATATAATTTTCATTCATTACACTTTCATCTTTTTTCAAATAATGTGAACCTATATCCACATTAACATATATAAGACATTGTTTAATTAATGTTGAAGTAAACAAACTGCTCTGTTTGCATTTATCATTTTAAATTTATACAGTATACTGTATAGTTTGTTAGAATCATCAACTATTTATTTTTAACTGTGTAGAGGTAAAAGATGCATCTTATATTTTTCTTTTTTCAAACACTTTATTCATCTCCAGTGATAAGGATTTAGCATCCCTCCTCATATTATCCAGCACATCATCATCAAGCTAAAATTGAGTATATTTTCTTAATGAAAACAAGTAAGAAAATTGCTTTTATTTTAACTTTTTTTTAAAATATGATATGAACAGCTCACATTTATTTCAATCTTTCATATTAGAGGACTTTTGGTGTTTAAAAGTTGGGTGACATTTCTGATCAGAAATATGCTGTTACTTACTCTTGTTTATTCAATTAGCTTATGGTAAAATTGGTTTTGTTTTAAGTCATTTTGCTTAACATCACAGTTTCCAATAATCCATCAATCATGTTAAATGAAGACTTACTGCACCTATTGTCTTCAGTAAGTTCTTCGATTCTTGTGGCATTGACTTCTGTTGTTGAGCAGTTTCATGCTCTGATTGTCCTCATGTATCATGATGAAGTATTAATAACAATAGATTTCAGCAGATCTTTGGCTTTTTAGCCAGCAAAAATCAAGTAACTGCTTGGAATTCTTTGCAAGATAATTTTCAATTCATCATTTGAAAATACTCTGTTGCATCCATCCCTCATTCACACATTTTAATCATTCAGGTTGCTAATCTGTGCCAATAATAACTACTACATTAATTTCCATATATAATATAACCATAAAGCTAAACTTTTTATGGTTCACTGAAGGTTTATGATCTACTATAAAAAAAATTAAAAAATTTCATACCTAATATCTGCTCCATGTGTAGGTATCATGGATTGTAAATCTGTTAAATATCCTTTGGGATCAACAACAGTTTGTCCGCTCACAGAATCAGATACCTAAAATAATATTTAATAAAAAAAGTTAATAAAAACTGAGATTTTATTTCAATAAAAGCACATCTTATATATTATAATAAAATTGTAGTTTGACACTATTTATATGCAAATTATAATTATAAAATTTAAATATATTTGAAAAATTTTGTTTTACTACACATTTTCAATATTTTTATTTTAGATTATTCTAAATTTATGCAAGTTAAAAATATTTTAATAATTATTTGATATTATTTATTAAAATAATTTGGAATTAAAGGAAGAGAAACAGCAGCCAGACTCTTAATTTTGAATTTTCTTTTATGTCAACTGATCATATTTTAGTAAACTCACTAAAATATTACAATAGATTACAATTCATACATTTAGTAATCTAAAGATAATGAGTAAACAAATAAATTGAATATAATTGATTTGAATAAGTTCAAAATTTGAAAATAACAGATTGCTATACATATGCAGTAATCTCTTAGTAAACAATATGTTGACTAACACGCCAAAATTAATTAATAAACAAAAACAAAAACACTGAGTTCGGCGTTATATGCGTTTTATTATCGCTAGTACTTTCGACGAGCTTATTGTCGTCGTCCTCAGGCGATTTAGACAAAAAATAATCGAACACAAAATAGAATGCGTAACTTGTTATGAGAGAGATAGAGCGGAACTTGTTATGAGAGAGATAGAGCGCAGAACGTTCGGTTTCCCGCTTGCCATCCATTACCCGAGACTGTATTTGCGTTATGTTGACGACATCCTCATAGCGTGGGAGGACACAGAGGAGTCGTTCCTCATCTTCATGCAACAACTCGCAAGTATATATCCTTCCATCAATTTCACTTGGGAAAAAGAAAGGGATGCGGAAGTAGCGTTCTTAGACTTGCATATACGTAAATTCGCGGAAGGACTACAATTCTCGGTCTATCACAAATCTGGCATGGCCCCGCACATTATACCAGCTGAGGCCTTTCAGCCTTCTCGATACGTTAACACTGCCATTGCCTCCCTTGTCAGAAGGGCTTATTTACTGTCGTCTACGCAGGAGCTGATAAACGTCGAATTAGAGATCATCGATATGGCGGTACGCGCTGCGGGCTTTTCGCGTGCAAAGTTTACGTATGTGCTCAATAAGGTAAACAAGGCACTGTTTCCATGTACTACTTTATGCAGCAAAAGAGAATCTTCAAAGGTTCAAGTAGCGTTGCCTTACTTTGGACCCATATCTTTACGTATCTGCAGAATCTTTAAGCAGCACAACCTTGTTCTACCTTTAACCCCACTTCCAAGCCTACGCAAACTTATTTGCAATGATAGAGACAAATTTTCCATTCTTGAGAAATCGGGGGTCTATGCTGTACCGTTGGAAAATCAGGCAATGGGAGTAAATACAAGATATATCGGGGCCACCACTAGAATGCTTTCCAGCCGCCTTGATGAGCACCAAGACGATGTTATGAGGGGAAGACACACCACCGAGCTCGCAAAAAAGGTACTTGAGCAGGGTTACAACCCGCTATGGTCCCAAGTGGTTATGCTCAAGAGCTGCAAAGATCGAAAAACTGTTTTTATATGGGAATCTCTCCTCACTACCACCTTGGACACTTGCAACACCCCTACCCTTGAGCTGCCCAGTGTATGGGTCACGTTGTATAAGCGATTAAGCGAGTACTCGTAGTCTCTAGAATGCATGCAGCGAGAGCATAGCTCTGCGCATGCGCCAGCTCGCACTTCACGGAGCTATCTGCTCGTTCGGCTTTCGAATTATGTTTAAATTTCTACGTGTTCTTAACGGCTTTAGCACAATTTCAATTTATATTACGCGTTCTATTTTGTGTTTGATAATTTTTGTCTAAATCGCCTGAGGACGACGACAATAAGCTCGTCGAAAGTACTAGCGATAATAAAATGCATATAACGCCGAACTCAGTGTTTTTGTTTTTGTTTATATGCAGTAATAAGTATGCATGAAATAATTATTGATATAAAAAAATGAAATAAAAATAAAGATTATATAAATAGTTGTATTTATGTATGTGGTCCCAATCTGTCCATCAAAACATGTAGAAAAAGAAAATAAAGAATCACTGTTTATGGGTATTAAATTGTTTAATATAAACATGAGCAATGCTTTACAAAATCGTAAAGAATTTATAAACTATTAATAACCTTTATTTTCTCAATGATTTTTATTAACAAGAGATGCTTTTTATATGAATTTTTAACAAGGCAGGCAAGACTGTTATTATGTTAAGACTGATATGACTCATATTGACTTTAAGAAATTTATTTAGAAAACAAAATCAGTTTACATATTACATATACTAACAATTAAATTTATTTTTTCTCATACACTGATATACAGAATTAATCCAAGTAATTTTTCATTATAAGAAATAATAAGTAAATAAAATATATATATTGCTTAATACAATTTTAAAATTATTTCTTGATTTTAACTTTAATGAATCTATTGCTATAGTTAAATTTGGAAATGTTTTCTTACATTCACATTAAGTGCTTTATTTAAAGCCAACAGTGGGAGGGACTGATAATTTCTTTTAAAAATACATGAAAAAATGTTTCTTAATCAATAGAAATCATTAATAACGTCTCAATCATATTTATACAACTCAATGCCATGATGAGTATTAGAAATTGTTATCAAGAGATTCAAAACATTCATTCCAATGTTTCAAGACTACGGAAAAAAATTTCAGAAAATCTCTTCCAATATATAAGCTGAAACTTCTGTACAGTATAATACATCACACCATCCACATTTTTTCCAGCAGCAATCCTTTAATATATGAAAATGGCTATTAAGTATATTAAAGGTTGCATGCTGCTGGAAAAAAGCATGAATGGCATGGTTTATAATATTTCAGAAAATCAGTTATGTGTAAAAAAAATCTGAATTAAAAGTTGCCCAAGACAAACAGCTTGTGACAACTGCTATCTTGCTTTAACAAGACACCCCAAAACAGGTTGTAAATTCCCAAACACTAATTTTCTCTAGAACTTTCTTACTCATTGAAACAACTATTTCAAAACAAGCCACAGAGAATTGAATGAGTTGGGACATGTTCAATTTTCTTTTGTCTCCAGATTACACACTGTTTAATATTGTTAAAAGGTAAATATGTAGTGAGTAGAGTCTACCTTTGTGCTATCTTTACTACTTTTCAACTATTTGCAAATTTGAAATTAATTTTTTCATATTAAACACACATCTCATTTCTATTGATATTTATTTCCTTCTACACAAGTGGTGTTTTGGATAATCTGAGGATTTCTTATATGCAAATTAAAACTTTTATATAAAAATCAAAGATGCTATCAGATCATTTGTAGTTTTTATCAAAAANTTATGGAAGAAAACCTTTCAAACAGCCATAGTCTGTAAACTGCATACATGCCGGGCTGTGATTGGCTCGTGTATTTAAGAACTCATAGAACATCAATTTCATAAAGAATGAAACATAACTACCATGTTATAAGGGGATCGACTGTAGTTATTATTGTACATATGTAATTTCTTTCAAAAATAGTTAATAATAGTCTAGATAATCATTATACATTTACATTACATTAACTCAAATTTTGAGGGAAAAAACCCTTGTACACTGTAATGTAAATATTTAAATAATAAGAAATTTTTATTACCTGATTTAATTTAATATCCATAAGTGTATTACGTGCTTGACCAATTTTTCTTAAATCCAAATCTGCACTAGGGGTAGTCCATCCAGGAGTCATTAATCCACCTGGTGTGGCTGATCCAGGAAATGGTGTTGTCAAGCCTCCACCATAAGGCTACACAAGTGGTGTTTTGGATAATCTGAGGATTTCTTATATGCAAATTAAAACTTTTATATAAAAATCAAAGATGCTATCAGATCATTTGTAGTTTTTATCAAAAATAATTACATAAATATTTTTGTCTTTGAATCAAAAAATCTCTCTCTTTTCAATAAAAAACAATATCACAAACTTAATTACAGGATTAAATTGATAATAGAAAAGAGTGTCATTCCACTTTATGTAAAATACTTGTGTTATTTATAAAGATTTTCTGGAGCACTGGTGTGCTCTAAATTTTTTTAATCTTAATGTTACCACACACAAATCAATTTGTTAGCAATTTTCTTTAAAGTATAGACTTCAAATTAATAAAGCATGTCTAGAATGACTTATTGCAATTCACTGGTTCTTTCTCAGAATATTTCACAAGGTTTCTCTCATTGAGAAAAATAATTTGTTGCTTATGAAAATAATCTATAATGTTTTAATCAGGATGACACACATTGATGATTTGTTTAATCATGAAATTATTACATACTCTAATAGAAACAAACCTCATGAAATATTCTCTACTGATAACTTCTATCTCTCAGTACTTAAAACCTCATTTTGTCATAATGATTTTTATTGAAATAAAGACTTATGTTTAACTGTAATGTTTCATAGTAAAATTTGTGTGCGCACATCAAATTTTAATACATCTTGTTAAGTATAATTATTAGTGATGTCGTTACATCACTAATAATTATATTCGGTTACTATTCGGTATTCGGCCTATTTTTCACTATTCGGCCGAATACCGAATATTTAATCACTATTCGGCCGAATACCGAATACCTAAAAACAGGAGTAAGAAATAACAAAAACACAGTAAATTAATCATTTTGGTGTTTAGATTTAATGTTATCGAGTTAGTGTTGTTTGTTTATATTTATTTATAACTTGTAACATGCACAAAATAAAAAAGAAAATAATATTAGTCACATGTATTCACAATTTATAATTACAAAGATCAGCACACGTACTGTACATGCCTATCGTTGGAGAATCCTCGCACATCTGAGGGTCTGACTCTGCCTATCCTTTTTAAGCGCTCGTCTTTGCTCTTTCCTTTCTCTTTCCTCTATCTCTCTAGTCCACGTATGCCTATGCATACATCATAATACGCGCTCACGA